CCAAGCGGAACCAATAGTAAACTTATGAAAGCGCAACATATCCATAACTCTATAATCAAAAAAATTTTTATTATGTACCCCGCGCGCATGACAATTATAAAAATGCTAATAACAACTAACCCCACTTGAGCTATAGCTGCACCAAATAAATCAGGTCTTTGATTTATGCATACAGCAACAGCCAGGCCACCATTACTACCACCTTGAATTGTCAATTTTGTCGAAGTAGTATATCCATTTTCTACAAGATATTTTGCCGCATATTGAAAATCATCAAATACATTCTGTCTATTGAAGAAACGTCCTGCATTATGCCATCTTTCTCCGTATTCACTATAACAAAAAATGCCGCATTTTTCATAAATAAATTATTTTACAAAAGGTTTTTTTATGTGTTCTATATTCTTACATACCCTCCTCCACGGACATTAGCAACAGCAAGTATTCCATTTAAATGTTGTATAAAAACAAGTCTTGTAACACTGAATGTAGGTTGAATACTTGCATTAAAACCACCATATCCATAAAGTAAAGCTGGCATAGTTCCATCTAATACAGCATCCTAAATTAAATATTTTTGATAATTTTAATATTGATTTAAAAAAATATAGACAAAATACATACATAAATTTAAATAATAATCTTAAATATTCTTAAGTCAATATTACATTTGTCAGGATAGTAACTTTTTGTATTTTTAGAAATTTCCTATTATAAGCAGCCAATCAAAATGTTAAAAAGTTTATTGTATCACAAATGTAATATCAGCCTTAAGTTTTTATTTATTAAATGCTCACAAAAATCACATCAATAATTAACACAGTTAATATTTTATTAAAAATGTTTTTTTTTAATATACATACACTCTTTGTTACTATAAACATGGGGATTTTTGTACCATCCTTGCTTGGATAAAATATTTGACTAGTTTTATATAAACTTGCATCAAAACCTTTCACTTTAATTTCACGCAATATCTATAAAAACAAAAATATAATTTATCAATTTATAATTATATTTGATAAAACTTTTTATTGTATGTGAAATATATATATCATACTTGTTTTAGATATTTTTTTTAAAAAACAGATACTAACTCGTGGTTCCTCTTCTTTTTTCAAATCAATTGTATATATAATGCCAGGGGTTAGGAATGATGTAAATTGGTAAAATATTTCGGAATATTTCTTCTCGCCTGAGAATCCAACAACAGTACCAAGATCAAGAGGGAATGTTCTAATTATTTTACCAGTTTTTAAACAATGCAGTTGCAAGATATTCTATAAAATATGCAATTATCAATATCTACTTTTTGCAGCCGTTATTCTAAACATATTTTGTATATATATTTACCTTAACATCTTGTATGTAACAAGCAACAAATTTGTCTCCATCTACAGCATCAGCCCAATCCAACACATTCTCAGGATGTTCTGGTAAAAGATCAACCCATTTGTCCTGCCCATAATCTAACAAATCTATAGCTATTAACTTGTAGTTAGGTGCATTTTTATTTGTGCGAAACACAGCTTTGGTACCAACATTGGTTATATACTGAAAATATATAAAATAGGAATAATATAAATGTTACAAATAATCATAAATTTAAGAGCCAAATATTTATTACTAACTTCATAATCAGCTTCAAGTTTATCAACAACCTGCGTCAATGGCAAATTGTTACTTATGTCCATTCCAGCTTTTAATGGAGTAAAATATACTAAATTATCTCTGCAATCTTTCAGAGGAGTAACAATGAGCCAGTTGCCACAATCGGATACTTCGGCACCTCTAATAAGATAAAAAAATATGTATATTAAATATATATATATATATAAAGAAATCAATTTTATAATTTATTTATATAACTAATTTTTCAAGCGTTATGTATGAGTATATAATCAGATTTTTTTTTAATATTAATTTATCTAAATATAACTAAATAATTTAAGATTTGTAAAAGTGTATATAACATTTTATACATATAGATATCTATAAATATACTATAGTATAAATATATATAATTTATATTATATTGTTATGGAAAAAATTAAAAACTGGAATGGCAGAACTCACATCCTCCACAATGGTTCTTCAGGAAATTCAATTGCAACAACATCATCTGATTGTGATGTACCAACAATGTGATAGCATAGTTTTTGATTTTGATTACCTAAAGTTTCTGAACCGTCAGTTTTTCCTTGTTGGTCTCGATATTGTCCATAAAAGATGCCACGATTGTCATGTGTCCATGTAATTGGTGAGAATTTTACTTTTTCCAAAATTTCTGGATATTTTTCACCTATATAAATAAAAAAGAATTTATATATCTAGTAAACACAAATAACAGTTATATAACCAATATAGTATATAACCATTAGTACCAAATAGTATATAACCATTAGTTATAATTTCTCACTCAACAATATAACTGTTACACATGTGTTATATTACATTTATATTGTTAAAAGTAAATTATAATTCATATACATACATACATACATACATACATACATACATACATACATACATACATACATACATACATACATACATACATACATACATACATACATACATACATATATATAATATATATATATATATATATATATATATATATATATATAATATATATTCCTAAAAAGTAAAATATTATCAAGAAAAATAACATTTTTAAGATTTTTTTTACATCATCGTACCAGTTTGTGCATTCAAAAAATGGATAGTACTCCAATCAGAACCACTTTCAGATAATCCATATGCAAAAATGCTACCATCTTCGCTAAAACTGCTACTAGTAATTGCAACTGTACCATCTTCGGAAAGAGTATTAGGATCGAGAAATACCTTTGGTTCACTTTCAAGAGTATCTTGTACATATAAAACACTGCAATAATTTATTAATTATTAATTTAAGACCTGCTCTCATAAACCTATTTATATATAAAAAATATGTATCAAGCATTGTACCTTTGGTTTTGTAAACCAGTATTTTTATAAAAGTAGTACTTTCCACCATGTTTGGCAGGGCAGGAATATTTTGGAAAATCCCACAATTGTGTCAATCGTTCGTGAATACTGTCACGTACCTTACATGCAGCCAAATATGGCTTAGTGATAGCATTTTGAGCATCGACAAAGGCTTTGGTTTCCGTCGAGTCTGGATCTTCCAGCCATCTGTAAGGATCTGCTATCTAAAAATAAAAGTATATATTTTTCATACGATATAAAAACTACAAAATTATAAGCTACAGATATATCTTTTCCTTGAAATACAGCTTGAAATATTTAAATTCTATTTATATAAAAAAATGCCTTTCTTTATACAAACACTAATCGCTATTAGATAAAACATATGTAAAATATACAAAAATCAAGAGATCAATCGAGCATTGTTGATTGATAAGCGAAAATAAATATTCCCATAAATTAACATAATTTTCTTCAAGAGACACTAACCTCAACACCGTGATAATTATCGACGACGCTCTCATCCCTGCGCGCCTCGGGATACTGTATCCTCGTCATAATCGTGTTCCTTTTTCTTTCAGCGTCCTCCCGCGCACGATAAATCGTCGCCTATAAATATACACCGAACTTTGCTAATGATATATTTACACGCGCGCAGAGTCTCTTTCCACACGCGCCAGTTGTCAGTGGAAACCTAACGCTGCGAATCACGTGAGCCGAACTGACACCTCAGCGTCGATATGCTCCGCTTCTGTATGAGGACAAATTTTTCAGCTATAGATTCCAAATAATTCCAATGAAAAGCCGAATAGATTCCGTCTCAATCAAATTTATGCATAAATTTCCTTTCTGAGCGAATGATGTAGAAAAAGACGCCAGTCAAGGTCACGTGATCGTCGCGACGTTTGTCTGTCAGTGTATGTGTGTGTATCCCGATATAGCCGAAAAGTCTGCATGTGCACACATGCATTTCCATTCATTTATAACGTACTATCGGTTAAGACTACGTTCTGCTTCAATTAACAATATATTATTTATGAATGAAAATATATGAATGATCTTTTTATTATTGTCCCTGCTGGCACCCTCTATATCGGGATGCACAGAACACATATGTCTGCATAAATGGAGCGACTGCGGTGACAGATAATAACGCGTATGGAAAACGAGAACGCACGAGAAGATGTGTCTTTAACGAATTGATAAATTGATGATAAATTCTTACAGATGTAGATATCAGGCAGCTTGACGATTGTAAGTCACCGACGATCTTTGCCAAGATGTTGAGACTTCCGAGTATCCTGCAGCACCGAAATCTATTCAACGCGCGTATCATCACGTGCGTACCATCCTCTCCTCGCATCGCGCCTCGATGTGACTTGCGAAAACGTTCTATTTCCGTGGCGCGGTTTAATTCGAGCGCTCTTTGTTGCGAGGTGATAGTTAAATTTTTACTTTTTTGTATAATAAAAATACATACATATAATAAAAATATAAATAATAAAAATATATCAAATTATGCACATATGAATGCTTGTTTCTCTTATAGAAAATAAAAATATTCCTATTATGCATAATTATTTTAACCAACTTTCTTATAGAGAGAATTTGCGTTTCAAAAAATTAATTATTCCTAGATTAATTTTGTTAATTCCTTCAGCTCGTTATAATTATCGATATTTCTCTAATTCAAATGATTGAATCAATTATTAGTTTTAACGATAGTTAATATGCAATCAACGTATATCAATGTATGGCAGTAAAATTATTCGGATAAACATGTCATATAAAAGTAGTAATGATCATATGTTCGGGTTCATACTGATCATATGTTAATTGCTTGACACGAGACAAGCATCGAGAAGCGATATTGATCCACGAATTTTGTTCCTTTTTAATTTTTGTGCATCGACATATTTAAGTTCAACGTCAGCATTATTATCCATGGGGGGGACGGAAGGGTAGAAGGGGTATAGAATGATAAGGCCTTATCAGAGGACCTCGATAGCCCTCTCTAGGAGTGTAGCGATAGCAATTGACACGTGAACAACTTTGCAAGTGGTCCAACACACTATATATTGCAACATATACACGCACTACTATCATAGACGTGATATCTCGACATAAGTGTTATAAATAGTCAAGGAGAGCGGTAAAAAGAAAAGATTTGAGTGCATTAATCAGCTCGAACGAAGTAACGCGGCAGTTGATACGATGTTTGTTGCGACATCCATGATCGATTAAACGATCATGTACTTTATTCATATATTACATATATAATGTCTTTGAAAGATGACGGAAGATAACTGGGACACCCTGTATATAGCTTGGTATTTTATAAATATATTTTATAAATTCGAGATATGTATTATAGATAATTCTAATATTAGAAAATTTAAAATTATAAAAGTAATGATCAGAGAAAAGAGAAAAAACATTAAATAGTTTCTCTTTAGATTTTTAATTCTATTAAAGCCACAAATTTGTTGATTATATTTTCATTCCATGATCAATCAATACTAAGGTTAAAATCAATTGTGTTTTCAAAATTCAGAGAAACTACATTTAAGATACATAAGATTTTTTTCAATCAGACTTAATCGATGCCAGAGTTCTAGAGTATCAATGAAATTTTATATAACGAAATTTATTCGCGTGAAAATAAGAGATATAACGAAGCTTTAAGAAGCTTTAAGAAGCTTGGACAAAATTAAAGCTTGTCATTCCGATAAAATATTACATCATTATATCAATAGTGATCTTGAGAGTTGTTAACTCGTACAAATACTAGCAATCCAAATCAAATTATTAATAGAATTTGATTTGACCAAATAAATATCATTAAATAAAGCTTGCACATCAGAACTCCTTTTTAATGATAAATGAGAAAAGATGAAAGAAATAAAAAACAAAGAAAAAGTGTCATATAAAAAACATCTGTTTTATATATATATATATATATATATTTTTTTTTTTTTTTTTTTTTCCCTAATTTATAAGTATATGAACTTTCTCTGATTAAACCTACAATTCGCGCAATATTAAGATCATGATTCTTAATTTTCACATGTTATTGATAAGAAAAAAAGAGAAAAAGCGAAAGAAAATATTTATAAAATATATATTAAAACTTTTATATATAATAAAAAAGAATTATTACGTAATATTTTCTTCGTATACCCTTGTATGTTTATACGTTTTTTACACGCATATTAGCTATAAAATCGACATACAGTCAATATCGCAAAACAAGACGCCATAATGTATACATGGTTCGAAAACGTACTTTTCAGATAGCAGGCAAACAGGAGGGTGGGGTTCTTATCGCAATATTTACGCATCTGAAATTCGGTCGCGAGTGGGGATGGATGGAACAGGCGAAGAGAATGGCTGTCGCGACTAATATCACGCACCGGTCAGCTGTACTTTGTGCCTCGAACCCAGATAACCTCTCCCCGAGAAACTAAACGAGATCCCCTCTCTCTTTACCTTCGTCGCGGGAAAAAGTCGCGCATCGTCTTCATATAAAATCTAAATCCGAGAGCACGTCTCATTCCGCGCTCACCGACTGCAAGCATCGACGAATCGAGGAAAGTTACTTGTATCTCGTGCGAACTACAGCAATCGTCACCAGCGGGCATCGACGGTACCTCAGAGATTCTTACTTCCGGCGCGGGTGAATTTAATTTGAAATTCGAACTGTCAGCACACGGAGGAATGCAAAAGGACTGTCGAGATTGTTTGGGTATCCGGTACCGCATCTACTCCCTGGATCAGACCTGGAAGTGGCTGCACCAGACTATCGCCCTGCACGACTACCTGATTTCCGTGACCGCGACTCAGACCAACGTCACGAGACGTCTCCGCCATTAATAGACATCGAGATACACCGACCAAGCCAGGGTTGATCTTGCAAGAGGTTAGAATTTACGACGCGAAAACCTCGCGATTTGTTTCAGATCAAGATTAATATATAGATAAAGAGACGGCACACGTTACGTCACAGGGTGACGTTAATCAGGTAGTTCGCAGTTAATCTACCGTTCGTGAGTCAGGGAGTTCTACGGTTTCTTCGCACACCACGCAATGTTTCTGCCAACCAGACTGATCGTTATCGCCAGACGCTGCCTCCCGCGTCTCGATAGCATTGGAGTCGCCAGACACGCGTCCACCTACAAGACCACCTACACCAAGAGAAATGAAGGAGTGGATTCGATCAAGAAGTCGGTATTCATGTCGCAATCCACGAACGTGTTCGTCAATCTGGCGCTGGAGCATTGGTTGTATCGCAACTTTAACTTTTCCAATCATCACGTATTGCTCTGCTATATAAACGATCCTTGCGTGGTGTTCGGTCGTCATCAGAATCCCTGGCTCGAATGCAACGTTCACGCGGCCGAGAAGGAAGGCATAGCTCTGGTGCGACGAAATAGCGGTGGTGGTACTGTTTACCACGACAAAGGCAATCTCAATTTGACCTTCTTCTCGCGAAGAGATAGATACAATCGAAATTATAATCTCAAAATCATCACAAACACTTTGCTTCGACATTGGGACTTAAACAGCGAAATCAACAAACGCGATGATATTATAGTCGACGGAGACTACAAGGTGATTATCTAGAGACGTCTTATTTGTATCCGCGAAATATGTAATTTAAACATTTTTATTTATTATTGTGTGAATTAAACGACTATTATATAAGATTTATATATAACATGTCAGTAGATATAATAAATATCATTATATAATGATATATAATGTGAAAACAAAATATTTCATTACAAATGATGAATGCTCTTTAAATGTATTCATGTGATTTCTAAAAATAGATTATACTCGTTACGAAATATTATAATTTATTTATTCTAAATTTATTTTAAAATTACAAATTGTTTCCGAATGTTACTAACGTTGATACTGATTTTTTGCAAGCAAAAAATTTAAAGAAATTGATAAAAATAATTTTTCCTATTTTAATTACACAATATATAATATATTTTTTGTATTATTATGTAGGTATCTGGTATATATTTTTTCTGGTATATATTTTTTGTATTATTATGTAGGTATCTGGATCAGCTGCCAAATTAGGAATGTCAAATGCTTATCATCATTGCACACTTTTAGTTAAAGTGAATAAAGCCAATTTGAACTCTATTCTTGAAAAAAAAGAGGTAAGATTTTTGTCTTTGATATAATCGACACATATATGCAATACATGTGCTTTTTAAATATGTGCGTGTATATACATCCTGAAAAAAACACAATTTCACAAGACAATAATATTGCGGTGACATATCAATATCACGCTATTGTTTGCAGATAATTTCATGATTTATTGTTTAAATATGAGAAGAAAAAAGATAACTAACTAATACATTCTTTCAGAATGGTATCGTTACGAATGCAACAACTTCTACACATTCAGCAATAATGAATTTGTCCGACATAAATCCAAATATCCACATGAAAAAACTTATAGCTTGTATTGGCTGGGAATATATGCGTACGAAGGCTCTTGTTTGTGAAGACGGAGAATATGATTTCGTTCAACAACAAAAAGGCTTCCAGTATATCAATCCAAACGAACATTGGTTTCCTGGTGTGTATCGGAAAATTGATTTATTACTCGAAAAATATATTGAAAATAAAAAACATGATTTATTTTTTTTAACAATTTTAGAAAAAATGCTTACTATCACAATTATTGAGAGAATAAAATACATGTATATCTAATATTCGCTAAAACTTATTAAAATATCTTCATAAAATGGAATTATGTATGTACAGGAATCAATCAGTTTATCAACGACTTTGGTTCCTGGGATTGGAATTACGGCAAGACGCCGAAATTCACAATTACTCGTACGTTCGATGTTTCCACTAATGATGATAAAATACATCGCTTAAATTTAAACTTGGAGATAGAAAACGGTATCGTGGAAGGAATCAGAATGAACTTACCCGCTGGATTAGTATCAACTAGTGATCAAGATGTGAGTGTGATTAGCAATCTTCGTGGGACAAGATACAACCATGAAGTGACAGAAAAAATAATCTCCGAGATTGGTAAGATCGTTACATTAAACACGATCCAAAGCATAGATGAAAACAATGTAAGACGATTTGATGAGGCTACGCTACAATGACCTAATACTTCAGATAGTCACACGTCTGTTTGAAGTTTATGTTAATAAAAAAAGGACAATATATATTATAGATATATAGATATAATTATTAAAATTATATACTTTGTATTATGTTATTGTACATATAATGTATAATGTGTATATAGTATTTTATACACACAAAAAAAAGTTAAGAAATTTTTTATTTTGTAATATATGTTATTCAGTAATATATGCTATATCATATCAATGCATTGTTTATTTATTTTAAGAATATCAAACAATAAAAAATTATGCGCATGAGTCTTTCATTATTGAAATAATTAAGAATATGATGTATTTTATATATTAATTTTCAGTTGCATTATATAAGTTAAGCTTATTATATAAATACAATAAATTTTTTAATTAAAATTTGTATTAAATCGTTGATTGGCATATAAAAATAATTTAAATTTTTTTTTGTTACTATAATGAAGAAAGATTTAAAATAATATATATTGCATTAACAGCATACTCTGTTTCTACGAATTTTATCTATAAAATATATTAAATCTGTTAAATTCATTTTTTTTAATTTAGAAAATTTATTTTATCTCAAAATCATATTTTGCTAGATATTTTTTCATAAATGCAAACAATATAAATGAGTACTATCAACATATTTTACATTTATCTATGCATTAATGTCGTTTTACAAATTAATAATAATATAACATTATCTTATAATCTAATTATACCCTGTACTATTTGTGGCAGCATCATCATTTAAGTTTAATGTAACGCTTGGATTACGATAAAGCCCTGGTCGCAGCATGACTTCACGATATGGTGGCGGTGGAGTATCAGGACAAGATACCGCGTCTTCATGGAAAACAGAATCTTCAAACTGCCATAAACTTTGCAGTAACGAAATTCTTTGAGCATCGTTATCTCTTGGCTGGCGATAGCCACAGCAGCAAGATATTTTCTTTGTGAGCCAAATATAACATGCAAACATGCCACAGGCATTACCAACTAAAAATCCAAGTGCGAGGAGCCAATACGACGATATAGCATTTAATGTTTTTGTAAAGTTCGCATTGTTTGTCGCATTAACACAAGTAGTCATATTTTTGTATATCGGTGTAAATGTAGAGTGCTTTTTTGTTATCACATTTTTTTTAACGTTTGAATCTGAAATGATCGAGGAACGATGTTTTATCTGTGGATTATAGACAATCATTTTTTCAAATTTCTTTGGCTCTAAATTTTTTTTGCATATTGGATAATATTGTATATTCCTACGAGCCAAATATATTTGTAAATCACGCGTAAGTTGATCACAGGACCAAGGATTTCTGAAAAAAAAATTGCATAAAGAACATACAAACATCAATTATTAAAATATTGAAATATAAAAATTTTTCTAAACATTTAAAAAAAATTACAGATATAATAATATATAAAAATAAGCATTTTATGAAAAATTGAATATTAAATTAAATTAATAAATTTCTCGTCGTCTCACCCCTCTATTGATAATGTTTTTAAAAATTGCAATCTATTCAAGACGACATTATCTAATTGAATCATCAAGTTATTTGAAAGATCAAGATTACGAAGATGTGAAAGTCCGAAAAAAGCATCCATCGGTACATAGCTAATTTGACAAGAACTCAGAATTAAATCCTACACAAAAAAATGAGAATTACATTTATAGAATTATTTCAATGTAATATTGTTAGTGTAATATTTTCATTGTAATGAAATTACAACACATTTACACACATGTATGTCCTTTTGCTACGTTTTTTAAATTATTTACATTCGAAAATAATTTAAAAAACAAAAGAATATTTATATATATGTATATATATATGTAAATGTGTTACAATTTCATTATAATCAAAATATTACATAATTAGCATTGAAATAATTTATTTGTGAAAAATATATTGGTATATTCTTATTCGTAAAACATTATACATTTTATATAAGATAAACATATATATGTAATATGACTGTACATATTTTTTAATGTTTAATTTATATTATCATTACCGTGAGCCAAGAATTCTTCAATTTTGGTACTTGAGAATTAAAATTATTTTTTGAGAGTCGAAGTATTCGTAAATTCTTTGCTGATATAAAAATATCCGACAAAAGGTAGTAAAGATGATTCTGAGATAAATCAAGAACTGTTAATTCAGATAATCTATCGAAAGCATTTAAGCCAATCTCGCTGATTGCATTTGTAGAAAGATTGAGGTATTTAAGTCTCAACAATCCTGCATCCTAAAACAAAAAAGAAAGCTCAAGTTATTTGTAAACAATCAGCGGGAAATATTCAGAAATTAAAGCGTTTATACATGCTAAAAGAAAACCTCCACTCTTCGATATATATTTATGTATAAATGGATTTATTAATTGAAAATATTTTATAATTTATAATAATTTAATAATTTATAATAATTCGTTTGTTCTTCTTAGAATATATTTGAAATTTTATTTATTACATACTACGAAAAAGTTTTCCTAATTATTCGTTGAAATTTAAAAAAAATTATATTATTGTTTTAAAAAACGGTTTTTTGATTTCTTAAGAAATGGCATGTATGACAAAGCTAAATATTCTGTATAAAAATTTATTTTCTTTCATTTTTACTGCGTGTGTGTACGTATTATATTCTTTTTAAGTATTATATATTATATTATATTCTTTTTAAAGATGATCTTTTCTTTTTTTTAAAAAATAATTTATGACCAACATCTTTTATATAAAAAAAATAAAGATTTATAAAAAGTATGCGTAAAAAAGAAAATATTACAACTCAAATGTCATAATGTTAACTGAATTTTAAATAATAGAATTTTAGAATTGTAAATAAGAATTGTAAATAATAATTGATGTTTGACAATTGTCTAACAAAAGAGCTATACATAGATCATTTTGATTTATTGTTATTGTTAGAAACACAACCAGTATTTTACCAGGTATTTTAAGTTAATTTATTAATTTTTTGTATCAACCATGATGAATAAATAGATGGATTTTTTGTTAAATATCCGTTGCATGAAAAATGCGCCTGTATGCATACTCACCGCTAGTTCATAATTATTTAAAATAGATATCGAATTATTCGACAAATCTAAAGCTTGCACGGTGCTTGGCACACCTGTATGAATGCTATAAAGATGGCGTCCGACACAAGAGGCAGATTGCAATCCATACCAAATATCGCAGTCGCATAACAGTGGACATTTTTCGGATGTCGAGTGCACTAAAACACCAATTACAACTACTTGAAAGACAAGAGTAATAAATAAGGTTCTAAATGTTTTACGTGTCATGGCGAGCCGTTCAAATTGTACAGAGAACGCAAAAACGATAATTTCGAAGACGAATCATCATTGATATCTGACAATTTTTCATTCGATATACATCGTCGGTTCTTCACGAAGCACGAAATTGCCGTGCACTGGTTTAATCTTATCTCGCTAACGTGTGGCTATGACAAAGCGATGTATATACTGCGACGCATCATACTGTTATCCAGTTTTCCTTTGTACAAAAAATGTGTTGCTGATGTCTAGATTTCTAGTAATAATAAAAATTTATCGCTATTATATCTATTAGACAGCTAATTGTATAATTGTCTATTAGAATTGTTTATGACGTGTAGAATTTATAGCAGCAAATTCCAGTAATATTTTCTAACAAATTTAGATTCCATCGCCGAATATTAATCACTGCATTTTATAAAATTTCGACTACAGTTGGAATGATCTTTGTTAAAAAACGATTTTTCTGTGTATCAGTCAAATTTTATAATAAGCATGATTAATTTAAATGTGAATAAACGCAACAGGAAGATTGTTTTTCTAAATTTTATTAAGAAATCAGATTCTAAATTCTATCTCTATCATTTAGATTGATTAAATGAAAAATGTATGCGATATTACAATATTTGTTAATCATCATTTCATATTTAAATTCTATTTTTATTACTTAGGTTGATTAAATAAAAAATATATACGGTATTACAATATTTGCTAATCACCAATTGACATTTGTTAATCACCATTTGTCCTCTTTTAGGTAGTTTTTTATAGAATTATTTTTCAGAGAGTTATTACTATTGCAGGAGATCATTTTTTTTTAATGCATGCTTTTTAAGAATTGGCTTTGCAGGAAATGCTAATCCTATTAGGAGAAGCAAACACGTCCAGACAAGACATATTCTATGGGATTTTAAATGATTTATGTGAATTCTATCTTTGTGACTACAGCCTGACCTTATATAAACTTTCTCTTTAACAGAGAAATTTCTATACTTTTAACATACATTGCCAAACTTTCCAATTACAATTTTTTTCTGTAAACTCGAATGGAATATGTTCAATACACAATGGCATATTCTATTGCGTATGAAACACTTTTCTTGGAAAAAATGCTTTATCGCAAACCAAGAGAAAGAACCGCGATAAATTTGTACATCCTACCGAAAAATTCTTCCGGTTGAGAAATAATCTTCCAATTTTAACGGAAATGAACGCAAATTCTTCAAAATTTTCAAATATAGTAAAATTCGTCAATTTATCAAACGAAAAATGGTTGAGTTAAAGTTATTATCATTTTAGTATATTATTATTTATCCTTTGACCTTTTGATATAAATAACTTTGTCAGTAATTTAGAAAAAAGTACACAAGAAGAGATCTTAATTTTTTAATTCAGCAATTCTTTAGATACATCTATATCTTAAGTTGATACATATTTTACTGTAATTTTTACGATTATTTAATAAGTAATTTGTAAGAAAGAAAACACAAGGACAATATTATCTCTATTTGTAAAATTAACTTTTGATGCACTTTTGCGATCAGTTTTATTTACCGATGTAATTATTAATAGTAATACGATATTCAAATTAATTTAAATAAAAAAGAGATAAGTATATATATGATCTGTATAAGAAATTTCGTGAAACAAATTAGAATTTTTCGTCGTAGCTTTTGTTGTGACTATAATCTTGTGATTTCGAAATATTCTTATATATGTTGGCGATATATTTATACTTTCTAAGGTCTACAATTGAAATATTAGCTACTGTATGGCTTTCCTGATAAAAAGAATTTTATTTATTTATTGTTATTAAAACTAACAGATAAGAAAAGTTAAACACCATATTTCAGAAATGTACATATACACATAAACATAGATTCATGGTATTATTAAGCCCCGATTAATCGTAATGACGGGATTTAAATGAATCGCGCTGGCTGAAGAATCGACAGAGACATCGGGTCGCGACGCGTCAACGACGGGGACGACGAGAGTCATCGGGGCCTTCGGTAAACGACGCTCATTACCCTTTGGCGCGTCTTCCGTACTTATAATGAGGGTCAGCGATTACCGAGCTTAACCAGCGAGGCGCGTATATTGCGCAACCCGTCCACGGAAATAAATCTAGGATAGGCTGCTGGGAACGCGCGTGGACCGTTGCCTTCTATTTCGCCGGTTCGCCTTCTCCACCTCCGCTCTCCCCTTTCACCCTTCCCCCTCCATCCCCCGTCACCATCGTAACATCTTCCGGCCATTTTCATCGGGGCGTCCTCGGCGACGCCATGGCGATCACCGCCGGGGAAGCCTCACCTTCGCGACCAACGCCGGGCGGACGATGATCGATTGACCCCGACAGAGGTCTCGAATTAACCCGGCATTAATAATCCGTCCTCGTCACCCGAGGCTCCTCGCCTCTCCCGCGTTCGACGAACGACGCGAACGTTCGTCGGGCCGTCGATTCAGGAAAAATGCGTCTACTACGCATCGGAGAGCGGAGTACGCGCGACGGGAACGGGAACGACGTTGCACGCAGCTCGCGCGGACCGTCCACTCTCTCGCGTTTCGTCACTGGCGCCCTCAGCTGACGCGCGTCCCCTCCCTGCGTCGCCGGCCCGCGACTCGCCTACGTACGATATGCGTCTCTTGGAGCGTCTCTTGGAGCGTCCGCGCGCTCTCGATTCTCTCGCATTAAACGAGAAACGATGGGAAAGGATGTAGCATGTACGCGACAGGCGACGCGGGCGATTCGTCCTCGTTATTCGTTAAGAAGGTGAGCTTTCGTAAAAATATCTCCTCGCCCCGCGAGGCGTCCCGCTGCTGAGCAGACTCTCCACTCGCCGCGTGTCGTCATCGAGCGACTCAGCTGACGCAAAATGGCCGCTCGACGCTGACAGCTGAAGCGGAAAGCGTGTTTTTCTCTGCAAAGACGCCACGGGGGGCACGAGCGAGATCGTTTCGCTGAACGATACGCGGCTCGTCGATCTCACGTAGAGGCGCTTCGATAAAATATGACGTATTTCGCGAGAAATAGGACGCAGTATGGCATCGAGGGATCGACGGGAATGTCTCGCGAAGCTGGATGCTTTGCCGAGCGGCCGGCTGCTCGTGTCGTTTCGTCACCGACATTCTCAGCTGACGGCGAAACAACCGCCTGGGCGTTATTTTGCGTAACAGCTGATCGCCGCTGCGTGACAGCTTCGCTGAAAAATCGCCCGTACTTTCATCCGCTCGTTGAAATTCGACTCCAAGAGCCGGTCGCGAGGCGTCTCGCGTCCCGCTGGTCTCGCATTCGTCCGAGGGACACGCGCATAAAGTCGGCGTCGCTTCGCAGAAACGCCGGGAACGCCGAGTACGCACGGCGGAGAGATGAGGGAGAGAGGGGGAAGCGGAGTGGAGCGTCTCGTCGGGCAGGCGCTCTTTGCCTAAGCGCTCTAGCCTGCGATTTTTTCCCGTTTCTCTCGTTGTCCGGGCGGAGGGCCAATCGGAGTAAGTAGGTCAGAGCGAGCGGCCAATCGGCGCTCGAGGCCGGGTCACGTGGCTTTGTTGTTATCTATCAGCTGTTTTTCCCGGACGGGCGGGCGGCCGGCCGGCGCAGTGAAAGCCGCTTGGCAGTCTGTCCTCTCAGTCCCTCCCGGTCGCTCAGCTGTGCATCACATGTCGGGTAGCGCGAGTCCTTCTCCCGTACGGATCACTGTTAAACGCACGACCGCGACCCGGTTAAGCCGTCGTCCAGCTTCGGATTACCGTCTTCTATCATCGGCGCGCGTCAGCCCCGTATTATTATGCTGTCAGCCAACGTGTGCACGCCAACGCATCGCCACGAATCGATCACGAAGTGCCTCGAATATGCGGACGGCGTGACGAACGCGGGCGACGGTGCACGCCGCTTTGTTGATACGCTGAGTTCTGTGTTCAGGCCGCGGAGGCCGCCGCGTCCCTCCAACGTCTAGAGACTCCTTCCCTTCCTTTCCCCCCGCCCGCAAATTTAAACTGCCACCGCCGCCGGCGGCAGGCACATACCGGTGTGATCAGTGCGTGACGAAAAGTTGGACGGTACGATGACCTAAAGCGGGATAGAAGAGAGCGAGTGTGTGAGAGAGAGAGAGAGAGAGAGCGAGCGATAAAGCGAGCGTTCCCTTGGAATTTAACCGTGGTGGCCGAGTGAGCCGGCGTCCTTAGGGGGGTGCGCGTCGAACACGCTTGGCAAGCGTGCGCGTGTTGTATCCTCGAGCTTGAAATTTCGAACTCTCGCGTCGTCTTGGCTACGCGCGCTCCCGCATCCGGGGTGACTCTGTGGATCCGCGAGTGCGCCGTATCCTCGTGTCCTCGTGTCGACCGTCCCCTCGAACACTGTTGAACGGAGCGTGCTCCGAGAGGAGGACGTCTGTCAAGTGCCACGTGCAACGGGACACTCCGCGCGAGAGGAAGACGGGCGATCGTCCTCGTCGAGGGAATCGATCCATTCATCGATTCGCGAGCAAGGTCTAAGAGAGAGAGAGAAAACAGGCATCCCGACCACCGAGCGATATCGCGTCGTCGGCAGAAGCTCTGAGAAGCGAATAATGTCGACGGGCAAGAGGCTAGCGAAGCGCAGCATAATCGGCACCAGGGTGTGCGCTCCCGGCGAGGACGGCAAGTACTACAGCGGCGCCATTTACGCGGTGAAGACGCCGCAGGCCGCGTCCGCCTCCGCCTCCGAGTCGCCGCCGGGCCAGAAGAGCGTGACGCCGAAGACCCTCTACTCCGTGCGCTTCGACGCCGTCCCGGGTGGATGCCCGCCGAACCCCAGCACCGAGTACTCGGATCGCGACCTCATCGGCCCCGGCTTCGGTTCCGTCACCAGCGCCCGGCTGGTACCCGGTCAGAAGGTATACCTGACGTACAACGGTAGGGAGATCCACGCGGAGGTCACGGAACATCGCCAGCATCTCGACGAGGTGGACGTGGTCATTGCCCCGAACGGACAAGAGGTGAGTTTACATTATGCGCCTTTATGTACGCGCGTGTGCGCGCGTGCTACGCGTGTGTAAAATCTCGATCGTCGGTTCGCGCCTTGTCACACGTGTGACAAGTGTGACGAAATTTATCGTTGGCGTTATTCCCGCGGAATTACGCGCCGTAAATTATAGCGCTGCGAAGAGAAATAATATTTGAGTTATTCGCTTCAACGTGTACATGCAGCGTGAGAGGTGATTTAAATTCTCAGCTGACATCGACACCTTTCGCCGGTTCTATTTTTTTTTCTTGTATTTTACTATTAATTAATACTATTAATTAATCTAGTAGTTAATTAATACTATTAATTAATTACCGCGATATTTTTCACCCCGTGGAACCTTGGGAGACTGTGAGGTATCCGCTCAAGTTTACATATCTTGAAACAAAGTTGCATGCGCAATTCATTCGATGAGAAACGCCCCTAGTGCTTTCCTGACTTGTCGTTAGCTAACTTTAAGAGTGACGCGACGTGCATTCTTAAAAAATCGTGACGCGTTTCTTCTCTCCGGGAGTCATTTCGAGTAAACTTGGATAAGATCGAAAGTCGCGCGGCCTTGCATTTTTATTTCGCGTAGAAGAGACGCATTTGAAAGGAAGAGAGGTCGCGACGCGTTCTCGGGGGAACCGGTTGTAGACGCCGCACATGTCACAATGAGATTGGGGTATTCTTAGCGACTGACGGGTTAACGATCCTTGAGAAGATTAACGAATCGAAGGCGTAATGCTGCGGCCGGCATACTACGAGATATACATGGCGTCATATCCCGGGCCTCTCTCTTTCTCTCTCTCTCTCTCTCGCTCGGACGCAGATTAGCGACCTGTCAAAGAGCGCGCTTGCGCGCGCGCTACCGCCCGTTTCGCGAGATGCGAGTGCTCCATAACGGAGCAATACGCTCGCCCGATAACATCGAGCGGCCAGTATCACTAGATCCGTGCGTGATCTAATTTCGTCAGATTCATGCCGGTTTCCCCCTTCGATGGAACGCGACGCCGCGTCGATCCAAGATGTACGCGCGCGCGGGAGGGCCGCTGGGAATAATCCGAGTTACAACTCGGAGCTTGTGAAGCTTCTCGCGAGAACGGAACGAGAAAGAAAAAAAAGATTCACGGCGACAAGACGAAGAGGATACGGGCGGGCTATTAAAAAGAAGGAGAATCTCGTAAAATTGTCGACGCGAACCGGCGACAGCGACAGGGACGGCGCGGTGTGCGCGCGTGTGTCGTTAATCAGAAAATTTAATTTTCGTGACCTCGTTCCTAAAGTGGACGATCGAGTGGCTGGCCCATTTACGCGGTGCGCATGAGCGCGCGGACTCTCCTCTCGCCCTGCGTTCATGGGATAGATGATGGGCGAGCGGTGAGGAGGGGAGAGGAAGAGGGAGGCTTTACCTCACCACGCGTTGCATCCCAATTCGAACGCGTTGCTAGATGCTTGGCTTCGAGACTCACGCCGGAGAATCCAGCCGCGCCTCATTTGGCCTTCTTTCCCTTCTCATCGTCATTTTCGGTAGAAAAGCTTCCCGAGCGCTAAGAGAATGATTTTATATATAATGAGACGAGACACACGGAGTAAACTTGAAAATATCCGAGTCCTTTTCGCACTTTTCTCTCACGTTTTTTTCTAAATAGATTATTTTTATTTGCTTCGTTAAATGTCCGAATTAAATAAATCATATGTGTATTTAAAGAGTTTGATTTTATAAGCATCTGATTTTTGATCTCTCTCATCTTGTTAACGGAAAATATGGATCTTTTCAAACGCAAGTATAGAGTAATTGTTTATCATTTCTTGGGGTATTATTGAAATGTCAATAATAACTTAAAAATTGTTAAAAAATTGTTATATCTAAAAAGTTCAATATAAACTGCGTTATTTTCGCGGCTAGCGTAACAATTTATGAAATCAATATGCGACACACATGTACGAATATTAAAATAATACAATAAATTTACAAAGTTGACCAAGAAACCAGGGGCTCGTGCAACGAAATCCGAGATGGCAAAATTGAAAGTCGATAAGAGCGGGTTAACGAGTGGGTTAACAGAGGGAAACGCGTCGTTGACGTCACACGCCTCGCGATCTGTCAATTTTCTCCCGGCTCGAATTACGGGCCATTCCGCCGCATGCATTTTTGCACGCTCATGGAAACGCAGTATGCCGTGATAAATGCCTATAACGTGAGGACTAAATCGTCGCAACTACAAAATTTCCACACGATGACAATCTTTCGTTTCGCCCTCCTCTCTCGCTTACAGGGGGATATTTCTGTCGGACGAAATTAAATAACTCGCCCAACGCAAATAATAATATTGACTTAAAATTGAATTTCGTTAATTCGCAATCGGTTTTCAATGATCGATAGGCTTCGCTGATCCTTGCAAAGGTGGAAAATCTCCCTCGCGTCAAGCTTATATTTCTACGCCGGAATTTCCCGACACAAAGGGAGTCTTATCCCTCGGGTGTAGTTCGTCCACGCTCGGTGAAGCGTGCCGGAGAAATATACACGTAGTCGTGATACCGCTACGTATAAGCGCGTCGAGATTCGTAATGAGAGGCACTGGCAGCTCCGCGCGCACGCACGCACGCATGCACGCTCGCATGCGTGAGCGTGCGAGCGGGTACGAGGCGATAGCCGCGGCTTTTATGCACGCGCGAAGCGGATACGGTAGTACTCGCCCGGTGCACCGGCTACCGGGGGTGACCCCACGTGGAACGCATTAACGCGATATCTCCTTCTCCCTCTCTCTCTCTCGCTCCATCTCCGTTAGACAGCTCAGGCGTGACCGGCGCGCGGCTCCATTTCGCAGAAACCGTGTTGCGCTGGAAAAACGAGCCGTATCCGTACAGTACGCGTCCGGTTTTTCGCGGCTTTTATTGTACAAATCCCTCCCTGTCTCCCCACGCCCCCTCTCTCCCCTCTCCGCCGAGCGTGTCACGCGTCCCGGTATCATTTCGTCGGGATCGCTCGACTAACCGTGGCGCGTCGTCTATGATTTATACGATTGGATTTCTACGTCAAATGCGTGTATCTCTGAAGAACGGAGCGAAGTGTCCTCCGGCCATGAGTTTTGTCTCGATCGCAAGGTAAGCAGTTATACGTCTTTTTGTTTTCGCGCAACCTTGCAATTTTGCGGGACGTCCTCGCGATTTCCGTACACGTGCGTATGCGCGTGTAAATGATTGACGCAATCAATGCACGACGTCTCGATTCCCCCGAGTTTTTACGATCCGGTTTGTACGCTCTATCATCGGCTATAATCGCGAGGCGCCGCGATTAACGTCTCGATAGAATTCCAAGGCGTAGTAACGATTCTTCAAACGAGATATCTCCTAGACATTTGTTTACACGTGTAATATAGATAGGCAGAAGAAGAGCGCATGTATGGCAGATTTTTAACGTCGCCGAAGGTCGCTCAATCGTGAATCGATAAATAGCGGAGCTCGTTAATTTAAATACGTATAATACAGACGGTGATTTTCGAAGCTTACGTATGCTTTTGCGCTATTTTTTTGCGTCTAACAAGTTTATGTGAGACGCAAACATTTTCCTCCTATGTCAGAGTTTACAACGAAATGTTAATTCATCATTAACCTTTAACTGTTTGATGAATCAGGAATATTCGAATAAGCGTTTGAATGAGATGCTTTCGTATACGTGCATATAAATGCTATACATATAATTTCATAAATTATCATCTATTTAGTTAATTAATTAATTAATTAATTTTTGTCATACAAATAATTGGTAATAAAAATTAAATTTCATCTTATTAAATGTCATTTTATTCCATACAAACAATTAAATTTAATAAAAATTAAATTTCAGATATTTATTAAAATATAAAAAAATATAACTTTTTTATTGTTATACTTTTTAATATTAATATTAAGGGAAAAATGAAAGCAAACAATGAAATCTTTATACCGTACGCAGTCTGTTATGTTAATGATGCATAAGCAGCTGAGCTAAAGGTTAATGAGTGATTGAGATGCACTATAAATTTTTTTTGATACGCGATACGCATTGAAGCGTAAAAAAAATTACAATTTCGTTATGCAATTGAAATTTATGCGCAAGTAGAAGTGAAAATGCAAAATTTAAATGTTTCAATTATTGTTGAATGTTTTAATTATTAATTTTGCGCGTCAAGATTTTAATTGCGACATTAGTAATTAAGTTTAATGGTTGGTTCATGTCAGGAATAATTAATACAGTATAGTATCGTTGCCAAAAGATGTCGATGTCATTTATAAACGTATCTTTAGTCGTTCAATCAGTCGTCTTCATCCGAGACAAATATAGATTTCACTAACCACGGTCATGACTTATCAGCGCAACCTTGCAAGGTGAAGTCATTCAAATACGTAAAACGTCAACGCACTGACGCAAATGGACGATCACATGACGGATGAAGTTGAGTACCGCTGAATCGCGCATTTTATTGCGAGATGATGGCGGAACTCGGCACACGATGGGAGAGTGTTCTTCGTTAAATAAACATACACACAACCTTTTACATTTTTGCATGAAATTTACATCTCTAATTCCGAAGATATATAAATTACATTTTAATAATTAAAAATCTTTCCAAGGACGATAGAGAACTCTCTATCGATAAAACTTCTCATGTGTTTTATTGTATTTTGTCAAAAAAATCGACTGAAGTAAATAAAAGAAAGCATTGATCTCGAATGAGGGAAATTAATTATAATTTTTTTTACTTGGACAATAATTAAATTTATAAGACTATCGCGCGTTTTTTCATATTTATATATTTTTTCCTATTTACTATATTTATATTTATATTTATTATATTATCGTATGTATTATATTTATATAAATAAATATATTCTAATTGTATTATATTTATTGTATTATATTCTAATTGTATTATATTTATATAAAAATATATTCATTTTTTATTTATTTTTTATATTGTCTATAACTATTATCGAGAGGATAAAAAAAGG